TATACTTAGAAATACAATATCAGGAAGGCACTTTGGCAAGTAACCTATGACTGAAAAAAAAGTCACATATATAATTCCTGTCTTATATCTCTTCGGGTGCAAAAGATTTTTTTGTTGGTATTTAATTTTTCAATTGAATAAACTTGAGGGTGAAGGTTACAAAAGATGGTAATACTCTAATGAAAAAAAAATTCACAGGAAATGTAAATATGAAAAAAAAAAACTAGTTTCTATCATTTATGACCAATATTATTTTTTGAATACATGTAATATATTCGGTGGAGTCTGTCTCTAATACTTTATCATATTGCTGTATGATTCAATTCACATTTAATCTGAATACTTGCTCTGACTTACAGCAGAAAATATCATTTAGTACTACATAAGTTCCAGAGTAATGCTTTCCATATTTTATTATTTACTGAAACATGCTTAAGTGAGTGAGTGACAATCTTATATGATGATTAGAATAATAGACAGTTTAGTTTTATTACGTTCTAACCATTCAGTTGTCAAATTTCCTCGATCATTTACAATATATCAATAACACTGTATCAAGCCATGGCATCCTGTTATTGAAGTAAACCTATATTGTATATTGACGTGAAATTTAGGATTGATGTAAGACCAGGTAATATCCTCCTCATAACCTAATGTAAAAGAAAATTGATTTCTGTCATAAACTTACAAGTGAAAATGTCTGACAAAGAAGTTGGAGAATCTGCACAAACTGGGGAATTTACAGAACTGGTAAGACCTCCTCTTAAAAGAAAAAATTGTTTCCTGTGTCTTTGAGTTTTTCTTTTTATTTATTTACCAATGCATTTAATCATTGAATGTCTACTCTGAATGTTACGTACCCCACCCCAAAACTGAAATTTCTTCCAACGGGCCATTGGACGAAAGAGCTTGGTTCACTTTATGCATAAAATGGCCCTGTAGATATACCAATTTATTGACTAATACCTTATGTTCCATTTTAAACATCAAGATAAGTAGAGACTTAGTGCTATCATTTCCTATTAAAATTTTTCTCCTTAAAGTCCAGGTCTTGGAAAACAAGCTTTTTGGAATTGCAATGTTATATTGCAATTCCAAATATATAAATATATATTAAGTCATTTTTGGTAGATTCGCAATCGCCAAATGTCTAAAAGAAATTTAATGCATTGTCAACTAAAACTAAGCAGTTTCAGTTTTTCAGAAATTCACAGGGCCAAAAAAGGCCCTAAGTGAACCTTGTTCTTTCAGTTTTGGGGTGGGGTACAACATTCAGAGTAGAAATTAGAAATTCCATCATTAGCAAATACATATAAAAATTATGTACACGTACAATTTATCGTTACGTCAAATGTTGACCGACTGTTTTTCATTTAATTTATTAAGCCATTATATTCACATTGAATTGTCTATGGATTTTTCCATTTACTCGATCATGACATGGAGCACACTGTGGGTTTGACCGGTAGACAGGGGATGCTTACTCCTCCATGACACCTGATCACACCTTTAATGTTTTTGGGGTCCTTGTTTGCTCTGTTCTCAGTCTGTACAAGTGTACAATAGACATTTTGACTTGATTATTGTTCGTTATCTTCATATTTCAATTGAAAAGCAGGAAAAGTATTGACTGACAAAACTGCAAATTAGCATGCTTCCTTTTGTATAACATATGTTGGCAAAATTGTTGTCCAGGGCGGGGGGAGGGGGTTTCCTCCCCGGGCTCGGATGAGCTTGAATGATAAGCATATCCGCTTGTAGAGACAGCACTGTTATTATCAATAATATTGTCAACTTTTTTCAGAAAAGTTCACCGGCTGGAAAACGTTTGCACGAACGGAAGAAAACAGTGGCGGAGGGCCTCCTAGATATTGGTTTGTTGGTAGCAAACGCCTCGGAGCTCAAGACTTTACTGGACCAAGGGGATTCATACGCATACTACCATGTGTTGTTGGTTCTTTTGATACTCACTTTTTTAATCCAGATCACTGTCGGGTTTTTAATTTTAGTTTTGGGAAACCTGGAGGAAGATCCAGCGAATGAGAAACGTACTAACAGACTTAACAATGCTCTAATGGCCCTTGTATTCATTTCTATTGTACTGAACGTTGTGGTTAGTGTTTTCGGTATTTCAACGGAAGCCGATTAGATAGTTCTTATTTATTCAGGACTTCGGTTGTCTTGAAATTAAACAGCAACTTCCATCTTTGAAACTTTGATAAAAACTTTTTTTTAATATGAATGTGCTAATAAAGAAAGCAGTTATCGTTTTACCCACATGTAACACTTAAAACTTGGCCTTGCTCTTCATTCAGCCCGACTCAGGTCAATGTAACATTTTGTATTCTACATACTATATAAATAGTGCACGTTTTTGAGGGTAACAGTTGAAATTGACACCCCAAGGAAAACCATTGTCAACCGACGCGTCAGCGGAGGTTGACAATGGTTTTCCGAGGGGTGTCAATTTCAACTGTTACCCTCAAAAACGTGCACTATTTATTTTATTATACTGAATGTCCTATTGATTTTGGATGTCATAAAAAAAATTCGGAGATCGTCGATAAGTTCACGCTTAGAAAGCTTTCAAACTCACCGCTTCTATTTTTCTCAATAAGAAAGTTTCGGAAAAGATTTACCAACCTCTTTATTGTTTATTTGCTACTCAAAAAGTCCTTTATCATCTAAAGTTTGCACTCGCAAGGATGTTTCGTCTGTCGTTTGTTGTTTTCAAGTATACTATATCGGACGCAAGCTTTTATTGACGTCGTTTATTTGGCTTCTTTCAAACGCACAACTGACGTTTTAGAATTCTATGGTGAACCGTACGCGCATGATTTGAACGCATGTGACATTTTCGTAATGTTACCCGTTGTCAACTGTGTTGCTAACGCTGAGGGTAATATTACGGATTGTTAAATGCGTCTAAACCAATCAGATTATAGTATTTAACATGAAAGTATAATAAATGTAAATATTGAAGCGGGATAAATTTTACACTAATATACTGGTGCATGTGTATATGGGAGACAGAGCGGACATACTTTACAATCTTCGGACTATGCACTTTCTCTCCTTCTACATTGTAATTTTTAGAAATGCATGTTGTAAAACATCCCAGATACATGTATGAGATATATTATATTTTGAAATGCTATTTAACGTACAAGAGATAATTTGCTGAAAATTTAATATGCGTACGACTTCACAATTTTATGAACCAAAACTAAATTGTAACTAATGTGGCAATGATAAAACTTCGATGTGTTTTTCTTTATTGTCTTTGTAGAAGTTTTGCAGGAATATAGAATATTCCATATGACTTAAATAGCACATAATTTTTAATTAACATGTTACTATTGTAGCCAGTATGGTTTTAAATTTTTATTATAGGCATGCTGTTTAAAAATGTACATTTGGGGCTAATTAAATGCTACCAAAATTGCTACCAAATTGCATATTCTCTAAAAAATATATATATATATATATATATATATATAAGCAATGTTGAAGAATGACAGCTAAATGTTATTTTACGATAACAGGGTATTTGATGTACATGTATGCTATAATTGTTAATTGTAAGAAAAGATACCAAACTACAATAACCAGACTCATTTGAAATTCTCTTCTGTAAGATTTACCAGTTTTATGCCTATATATTTTATATTTTCAAAAAAAAATGTTGTGATAGAAATACATCTAGTGTACATGCTGGATACGTTTATAACACTTGGTTGTTTTCGTTATTCTCAGAGAGGGAGAACCTTCCTTAAAAAAAATACACCTCATTCAGATTCAGACTTAAACAGAAAGGAACCTTTCTTTTGGCCAATGAGATGAAAGGAAAATTATATAAGAGGCCACATACAGGGAACTCGCTACAAAATATGAGGTTCACCAAAGGGCAAAAAATGAAAATCACTGGAAGCTCGTCTTCATGCATAAAAAAAATTCAATACCAAAATCGTATTTGAATAGATGCATTCAATCTGTTGTTATTTCGTTCGATGCATTGTTCGGGCATCTTGTTTGTGAATGCTATTGAAATACATTGCAGTATTTTATATATATCTTGCAGACCACCTAGTGTTTCAAGAGGATCTTGCTAAATCATGATCAATGACTATTCGGCCATTTATCGATTTAACTGATGGAGACTATGTACTTTTACATAGTAAACATTATGGATGCCTTAGTCTTAAAACGTAACAAATCTAATCAAAGTACTTGTACAATATGAAAAACTATTGAATCGTTCCCTATATCATTGTTGTCGTAGATAACAAAAACGACGATCATCTTATGTATTTATTTATTTCTTATTCATCTCTATTTGGCGAGGAAGGGTCTAAGATTTCCATTTTGTGGTGGTTTGGGGGAGGAAGTATTCTAATAAAGATAACTAAAGACACAATATTTGGTCCAGAGTTAGTAGAGTTAGTTTCATTAAAACTTTCTTACTCGTACGAGGTGTTCTCAATCTGTCAATTACGTCAATCTTGATACAGAGAAATCATTTCTATTGTCTTGAATGTTTCAGCTTATCAGTTCTTGTGCAAAACATGAAGGCATTTGCTAGTTAGTGGAAACCAATGCCTCTTTCACGGACTGTTACAACAGTAATAAAAATATTTCCATAATTAGAAACTCTATACACATAGACACACAGTTTGGTTTATCTTCATATGATCTGACCACACGAGATACCTTACATGGACATGTATCTGCTAGATTTTTCAATTAGTGCCCTCCTTTCTCAATGAGATTTATAATGTTCAAGGATGAATATTTTACGAATATCATGATACTGACAGTGAATCGAATTTTCTACGGGAAACATGTATTATAAATCAATGTTCAATGGATTTAGCAGATATAGATATAAGCTGCCTTATCTAAATCGTAAATTTTAACTGGGCGGGCCGTCTAAGTTTTTGTCCTTATCAGTTCAATGTATGTTTTAACCTGTGTGTTGCTATCAATAACAGGAAATTTAAACACTGAAAATATAGAAAATGATTTCATGCATTCTACATACCGAATATTAGATTTTTACAAAGGACTTAAATATGGATATGAAAATGTCTGAAGAAGGAAAAGAAGCATCCACTGCACAGGTAATAATTATATACCTATTTTTAAAAGCATTTTTAAAGTAAAGATATTGCTATTTAGTGAACTGTTAGGTGTTCTCAATACAGGTAAACATATGATTGCCCTTTGTATTGTTGCTAATTAATTAAGATATAAAAAAAGCAGGGGGATTAAGACAAATTCGGTATATCTGTTGATATTAGTTGCTGTTTTAATTTAGATATGCAGGCATTAAGATAAGAGAAAAGAGGAAAGCAAGTCTTTGATATATTAAGGTATTATAAAAATAAATCAAACTTAAATGAAATCTTGACCTTCTATCTTTAGAGTATTGTCCAGAAGTCGGCATACGCGAGGAAGAAGACTGTAGCTGAGGGTCTTCTAGACGTGGGACTGTTAGTAGCCAACGCCTCCCAGCTAAAGGCTCTACTTGACCGGGGGGAGTCACACAGCTACTATTACCCCCTCCTGGTCCTCCTAATACTGTCTATTGTAGTACAAGTCATCATTGGATTTATTCTATTGTTTCTGGGGACCACGGAGGGGAATTTAGACAAGGACAAAAGATCGAACATGGTGAACAATGTCGTGATCGGACTTATATTTGGTACTTTGATTCTGAACATAATTATTGGGGTATTCGGAGTTTCTCTATGACATTGTGATGGTGTTTGACATTTCTTCTTATACTTATTTCCTTGGTATTTTTTAATTGACTTAAACTGTTTAAATATATATTGTTTATATCGGTTTATCAGATATACGTAATTTTACGTAATGCTGACTATATTTGAAGCATAACTGCTTCAATATCATTCGAATACTTCTTGAGGCTAAATGTATGAGATAGAATTCAGGATCCTTGACACAACATTTCACTTCAAGTGATTATTATTGAAATAGAAAGCTGAATAGATAAGTGGTTGAAACCTCGAACAAACGGAAGTTAAAGGATGAGGGATACACGAGACAGAAATCCTGAACATTTTTATCATATTCTTCCATTGCATAACATAACGATGCTTGGAAAAAAAGGAACACTTTGAGTTGTCATAATAAAGTGCACATACTCCATTTCCCTTAAATATGTTACATGTATCCATTACTTTTATTGGATGTGTTTAAAGATTTTCACTTTTCTCAGTACATGTGTAGATATGTTTTCTTTTTGTATACATTCAACATCTATATAATAAAAAATTGACTAATTAATGGGCGGCTCAAATCATGCAAGTTATCAGGCCAGTTTTAGTTGAAATTTCTAATAATTTAAAGATTTTCAATTATAATCTTCCATACTCCTTTTTAGAGGGGATGTACGTGGTACCATCTGAATCTTATGCTCACAACCTGTACTTTAAGATGTTATAGTTTTAATTTATGTTTCAGGGACTGACGAGACCGTGTCACCTTAGTGTCTTGTCAGCTAAAAAATTAACGCTTTCAGTGAATCATATTGTTAAGTTTGAATTTACTAGGTGGAGATAAATGCAATATTTACAACATTATACTACTAAGTACAGTACCTTTGGAGTGTACGTTTCCAAACGTGACATTTATGTACCGTAAATTACCTTTTTTAACGAAATCTATATGCAGTCTTGATTTCCCGAAATAGTCAAAAGATACTTTTTTATCCACGATGAAATGAAGTCAGATTTCATGTGAGATACGTTCATGAAAGCTGTAACTTTTGTGAACATATGTCAAACGTTGGTATCTCGAAGTACATGTATGAGAATTTTACGATATTATATGCAGGCTTGTGTACAGTTGTCTACCAAATACTGCTTGTGAGCTTTTACATAAGGCACATATATGAACACATTCTTCTCATTCTTTTATCTGACCTGACTTTCTTTGGATGAAAAATAATTTTAATATATATTGTATATATAAGAGATATATATATTATCTCTCTCTCTCTCTCTCTCTCTCTCTCTCTCTCTCTCTCTCTCTCTCTCTCTGAGACAACCTTTTTTATCATTCTAGTAGACTTTTGATATGTAAATTTAAATCAAACCATTTATAATGAGGTAAATGTAGGTCAAATAAAATTATCGCTGAAAGTAGTCAACTGTGAATAAAAATGATTCAAGCACATAATTCTTTGGCACATTACATCACAAGTCCAGTTCAATAGATACTAGACTTGGGACACTCTACGATCAAGAACCTGTCTTTTCGTATCCCCGATTCTACGGTAGCCAGCTGCTCTCAAAATTTCTCCTTCAGTATCAACTGAATTGCTTTCAGGAGGGTGTTCGTCAGGCAATGTACTCACCCCACCATAGCAGGGGTGGGGCACAGCATTGTCATAATCGTCTTTATCCTTAGGACAACTAAGTTCCGATGGAAAATTCTCCAAAACAAAATACTTATGCGAGCCCTCGTCCTCATACTCAGTATTTGTATTGTGTAAATTTCTGTGATGGCGGGGAGTGTTTGAATGGCTTTCTGGTTGTAAAATGAAGTACTGGTTATTTGGTAACGGTTGATTGAATCCCGGATTTACTTGATTAAACTGGTTATGGAGAGGATTTGTGTTCCGGATTACGGTCCCTACGTTAGCATTAGGTCTAGGTCTGTGTCCTGGATATTCCGCCGTGATGGGCCCACTGATGAAAGATATATCCTGCAAATTTTATATACATGTATTCATTTGGACTACATTACTTATAATATAATGCCTATATAAAAGAATATATATCCTTCTGTACAAAGAATATATATCCTTGAAGAAAAGCCTTTTTGGAATATTTTAAAAATCCATGTATTCTAACAATTAAACAAATGATTTAGTGTACAGTTGTAGTCATTTTTTCCTTTTATCTTCGTTGCTTAAGAAAATACCCGTTTTAAGATAAGAAGTGTAAAATAAATCTACAATTATGAATTAAAGTGATCATGGAATAATGTCGGAAAAAAACGTCATGTAATGACGTGTTGTTAGATATAGTTTTTTATTACTCACTCTGTCTCTTTCCTGTTCTGTTGTTCCTGTGTTTTCATCTTTCCCGTGAACACACCTAAAAGTAATGATCGCACATAGAGTAATCCTACCAAATCCAGCCAAAGGATTATGTACTGACTATGGTGTGGAGCGAGAATTATTTTGAATTTGATAGCAAATTAACAGTATCAAACAAGAGCTGGATGATTAAAATAAAAGCATCTCTAGAAAATAAGGCATTTCTGTAATGTTACTCTTTTGCACTGTGTGTATAACCTAATGCTATACACGAAATTATACACTGTATTTACCTCTTGATTTTAGCTCGGCAAATAAAAAGGACTAGGCCTAGCAGAACCAGCACAAGGAAAGCAATCCCAAAGACAGCGCCAAACAGGAACTCAGATCCAGACAGCGAGGAACCACCACCGTGTGGCGTGCTGACCTCAAACTCGTCCGCCGTGTCGTTAGACAGGTGATGATGTTTAATTCGACCATTGACGTCAATATCAATTTCCCCTGCGTGAATCACTCCACTGTTCATGAAATACAGATTTTTCTCCTGCAGAGTATTGTTTGCCTCGGACTCTGGTCTCGGGTTATTAACAGATGTGTTTTCCGGACTGGTAGAAGGATGGGTTGCTTTGGTCGTTTTTAAGTTCGCTTTTGTTGTCTGTTTGGTTGAACTCACTGTTGTGTTGTTAACCTGGACTGATTTTGTTGTTGTCTCGGGCAATTTAGAAACCGCAAGGACATTTTCTGTCGCGTCAGTATCAGAATTTTCGGCACTTGATGGCTTTCTTTTTATTTTAGATTTCCACGGTTTTTGTCTTGGCGGTCTAGGAATAATAGGAAAGTTTGTGGAGTAGCGAATCTTTGTGAACTTGTTGTACGGTGTAGACTGGTTGTGGGTAATATTCCCATACAAGTTTTCTGTCTCATTTTTATTATTCATGAGAATGCTAGACCATGGGTTGTTCAGATCATTACTTAATTTCTTCATATTATCTAGAAGGATAAAGTAAACTATATTATGCAGCATATAAACATATGTTTTATCATTTATTTATAACTGAGTTTTACTATCCAAAAATTGACGACCTTGTATGAAATTAAATACAAGTATATAATATTCATGCTTATATCTTGTAGAAAGAAATGCATTTACGTGAGTTATATTTAACAAAAAAACCATACAAAAATGTGTACAATTATAATATATTGAAGTGATTTAAACATTATTTTTAAAAAATAATCATGTTTCCTAAACTGCAAAATAATTACGGAATTTTTTTTCCTTAACTTTTTCAGACATTCAAATTTGAGAATAAAAAATCCCACCAAAATCCAGGAAAATTTTTAAATTATGTCTTTTCGAAAGGGTACCTAAAAGTCCGGACTATGTCGTGTCCGGACTTAAATGTCGCAGTGTTTATATTTTATTTGGTCAGAAATTGAAAAATTCAAACGATTAGTATATACTAAAAACTTGATGTACCTATTTGAAATGTCATTGTAATGACCCCCATTTACATTAAATTAAAATATGTGTAGTTGTGCTATTACATGTATATATATTATACTTTGTCAAAACTAAAACCACATACATGTAATATGCAATACTTTTAGATGTATCTGTACTAATACAGGAAAAAATACATTCCACCTCTAATTAAATAGACAGTACTGATTATAGTCTATAAGCTATATGTACGAGTCTAAATTGCAAGTCTAGTCACTGACTGTGATGCAAAAATTCCGACGATAAGCTTATGTATGTGGGTTGGGTTTTATGTTAATGTGAGATGACACTGGACATTCTGTACTCTTCAGATTGATACAATAAAACTGTCACCTAGTGGTCATAAACATAATATGTAATCAACGGAAACAGTGTACAGGTGTGGACAGCGACAATCTTGCAAGTGCAATTTGTATTTTAGAAGTACCTGAGAGGTTAAATAAGATAGTTATATTAATATTGTTGGTGCATTTTTATTTCAAAATAAAAAAAATCAGGTACTTAATACAAAATAGAGACCCCCTCCCCCACACAACACAATTGTTTCCATTTTTTAAATTTTTAATTTTTTTTATTTATTTATTTATTTATTTATTTATTTATTTATTTATTTATTTATTTATTTATTTGGCTGCTTTTATCTCGTAACGAAACTTTCATTAAAAGCTGGTTCTGTCCCTCCCCTCCCCCTTTTTGGTTAACAATGGTCGAATCCTCTCACGTTAAAAGAATAACTGTATGTATACCTGTTTTGTAACAAACTTTGAATTGTGCATAACAATCGTTGCGGACCCAGATTGCCGCGGGAAATATGTCGTTGGAGTACCCGTATGATCCGGGTACGTTACAGGCGATGACTCTGTACAGAAGAGACACTTCCAGACAGGAAATGTGTGAGGCGTCCTTAAGAATGCAGTACTGCTTAAGGTCGTCTGTACTCCACTGCGAGACTTCCCCGTCACAATCCACCAGTCTGCACGTGTAATCTGTGGGGAAAATATATACTGGTGCAACATACAGTTCAATTAAATTGCTGGAAGTTCAGAACTGCATTTCAAAAACTTTTACCAACAACAATAACAATGCCGTTAAGATCAGTCTAAAAGAATTAATATTTATCTAGTTGATATATTTTTCATTAGAATTTAAGGAGGCTCGGTCCCCCTTTTCAATTTTTTGGTTTGCATTAGTTTGCAAAATGAATTCAGCATATCACAATGTCCATGTTATATGTATTATTTAGTAGCAGGTTAAAAACCAATGGGAAATATTTCATGGCCTTTATACCAGAAAGAAGTATTTTCTTTTCATACTAACTGAAATTGTATACAGTGAAAGACGTTTTTACGCAGCGTTGCGTAAACATATTGATTGACGCTAATAACAGAAAACCTTGAATCGTTACTTAAAGCATACTTAATTGTGTTTATTTTCTTTTTGCGCAAAAAATGAATAGATCTACTTCGTCACAATAAAAGTGAAATTGTTGGTGACAATTGTTTGGTTTAACTTACGACAGCGGTGCATATTAAATCCCCCCCTCCCCCACTCCCCACTTTTCCACCAAAATCCTCCAAAAAAAGGTTTATCCTTTGATTTGTTTTAAGAAAAAGACTGATAAGAATTAACTTTTTCTTATAATAATTTACAATAAACATAATAATAGCCCCCTTGCTTGACAGAGTTTACACTATGTGGGTTAAAGTTACTGTAGTAAATATACTTGAAAAAGATGGGAGGAGCAACATGTATTAGAAATGTGTAAATATGTTCAAATTTGAGAAATCTTTGTAAAGCGCTGATAGAATAATAAGTCGCGCTCAGAATATGGTAATACAATTTATTTTCTGCATAAAATAAGTTTGGATTGCCTCTTGTATATATATATAGCAAGTAGAAGTTATTAGTAAGATACATGTACTTTGACTGGTCTATGAATACCCCCCCCCCTTCTCAAAATATAAGAAGCAAGGGTTATGCTATAAAACACATGCCTTCCAAAATTTCTTCAAGTTATACACATCGGTTATTTTACTAGATGATCATTCATCTTTATTTAGATAGTGCGGAAATCTTAATTTTTATTTACATGTTATTACTTAAATGTGACCTAAATTTAGGTCTGATTATAATGTATGTTACCTTAAAGGCTTCAGTCTCTTAATCATCAACAAGTATGTTCACAGATTATATACTGTTATGTTTTATTGCACGTATTTCAAATTCTCACGCGTACACATATATATATAAACAATTTTAAATTACTCTCTTAAATAAAAAAAAAACACGATTTATTTCATTACATGATTATAAAAAAAATTTGTTTCTTATTATTTAACTCTACTTTAGATTCAACATATCTTAAACTCTTTCTTTTAAAAATACTATATATTACAGCCCATTCATTAGACACTAGTTAGTGCTTTACTTAAAAGACATGATATTACATGGAAGAACAGGTTTCAGTATTTCCGAAAATGAGTGTATTTTCAAATGTGCTATTATTTATAAAGGGATCCGGTTTTTTTTTCCATTTGAATAAATTATTTAGATTCATTTGTACATACTATAATTTTTTTTTAATTTATTTTCTTTTAAACATGCATAGTCTATGTAAGTACATGTAGATAATCAAATTGGTTCCTTTGTTTCCAGCCCTGAGTGTGTTTAATGTTTACCATTATTTTGTGTAATTAATTGTCCTAAAGGAGATGATGTTTTAAGTTTTAAGAACTTGTGTTTGATCCTTTTGTTTTAACATTAACAATTAAATGTGTCCAAACCAAGAACAGGAAATTAATTGGAAATCTTCCGCGAGAACATTCGAGTACATGCACACAAACAGTTAAATAACAGGTACAAAGGAATTACTCGCCCATATATAAACAATTATTTTCTTCATGACGATGTTATTAATTTTTTTCCCCGTTTTTTTAGGTACTATTTGTTGTGCTCCATTTCATTTTGAGATATATCACCTAATTATTGTGGTTACTTTATTTAAAAGACTTACCAGTTTCGTTTTCAAATTTCGCACAAGTTCCCATATTAATCCAAAATCAGGAAAACAAGACGTGAAAATGAAATAGAGTTCATCTAATATCCACTAAATGCACATACAAAAACAAAACTAATTATAAAGGGAACAGATTTACACTATCTATAGGGGATAAAAAACAAGCTGATTTGTTTCCTGATCTGGTCATCCATCAGAATTGATGACCGTGTCCGCGGGCTCGCCATTGACGTGAGAACTACCTACATACTTTCTTTGTATTAGACTTACTCATTCGCTTTGATCGCTCATTGATAAAAATTAACGAACTAATTATCACGAACATACAAGATGTGTATTTGTATGAATAGAGTAACTGTTCATTCTTTATCAAATATTTTATTTTTTTTTTTAACGGAAGGGGGGGGGGTAAAAATTGTTTGATAAATCTTGATACATCAAAAACTTTGTAAAGTTTATTCTGTATCCATTTCTTTTTATCCGTAGTATAATCATTATTATAGTATTTAAAAAATATGTCTAAAATCAAAGTGTCAATGAATTTAAATATGCTTATTCACTAATGTATGGCACAAAAAGTGATAACGCATATCATGGGATATCACCGTTGAAATTCATATCATATGCGAGATACTAATGTTTATTCATTTACACTATACCATGCTAACGTTACAGTAAGGAATGTGAAGTAAAAATTTTAGTCCTAAACTCTTTTCAGTTTTTAGCTGGATATAGTGACACATGTTTAATTGAATTAATCAAGCTATTATCACCTCCAATTATATTCTTTTACAATCTGACTAATAATTATTAATTAAAATCGCCTCCCGTTGCGCGTGGCCTTGTAACAACACTTAGCACGTGTATTGGTTAGATCAGATGCCCCGCCGGTGAATATCTCCCTCTCAAATAATCTAAACAAATAATTATACTAATTAACTGTTTATATTAATTAACTATCTAGTGTTCCTCTCACAAAATTCACTTAGGGAATCCTCAATCCAACACACAGCGGGAGATCAAAGGTAATTATAAAACTTAGTTTACTATAAAAGAGAAAATATTTTTTTTTATTTCAACATTAGCTGGAAAAACTATCCTATAACAACGATATAACAAAAATATCCATACCGGTGTTCCCCAGTATTAAGGTATGTTCATATATTTAATTTGCAAAGTTTAATATTTAATTGCCTAGTTCAGCTTACTGGTTTTGAACGTTAGCAAGAAATAAATCAGGAGTAAGCAAAAATAAAAAAAAAAATCATTGAATTTCTAATCTCTATTGAACGTTACGATTGACACAAAAACAGTGCATTCAATGTACGTAATATATGTATATTTATTAGGTTGCTAAATAGAAAAAAAATGGGTGTCTCCGAGGCTAAGAAAGTTCCTACACGTTCCCGAATCAAGTACCGCCCAGACCAGGTATCAAATAAAACACATTTTTTTCTTTTTATCTTTTCTTTCAATGATGTATCCTTAATAAATAATAATAATAGTTCACTGCTCAAGACTGAATGTCATAAGAAAAAAATCTTTGCAAATCTGATTTTAAATTGCAATGAATGCGCGCATAACATTTAATAAAATTAAAAACATGAAGATTGGGAAAAAAGCTTAAGAATTAAAATGAAAAATTACGATCCTTAATTAATTATACTGTATTATGTGATAATTTTGTTTGACTACGTTAAAACCCAATTCGTCTTACCACTACCTTAAACTTTCTGTATTCCTTCTTCAGATAGAGGCGATGGAGGAGTCGTTTCTGACACATCAGTACCCGGACTCTGAGAGCATAGAACAGCTGGCAGAAAAAGTGGGCGTGTCCGCAGAAAGAGTAGCGGTAAGTAGTCAAAATCAATACATCCTTTCCTTAAAAAAAAAAAAAAAAACAGCGGAATAAGAATGTATTAATGTTTTTCCATTGGAAGTGAACATCATAGAAATATTGAAATGGAACCAAAAAGTATGTGATTTTTTTTAAACCAGCATTTTAAATCCTTTCGATTTGTCCTGTGTACACAAGCTATCCAGAGTACTGCATGCAGTTATCTAGAGTGATCTGCCCTTTAATTTCTAAAGTTATTAAAATCTACAGCGTATTTTAATATTCAAGCATTCTTAATATATAATTAGGCCCAAATAAGATTTATTAAATACTTTATTTGCATTATATTTTCCCCATTTTAGAGTGGAACAGTTCTCTCTTTTTTTCATCAGTACTTAGCTTTGAACATTTTCAAGGGAGCTGGTATCCTATGTTGAAAATGAAACTGGTTAGATCATTATTTACACATATGTACGACTCAGTTTTCTCGTCGTTCTCGAAACATTTTCACAAGTGCATAAAGAGTCGTTATGAGTTAAATATCTTATAAAATGCTGTAAATTAAATTTTGGTGTGTCTTACATGTATCTTTGAAATAAAATATAAACCATACCATTTTTTTTTATGAATATATATGATTCTGATAATACGCATGTATTACATGTAAGCAAATAAAGAATAATAATGTATGAACTTAGTGGGGGAAAAAACCCTAGGCCTGCATTCAACGTTCAAAATATTTGAAAAATTTTGACTTCAATTATGAAAATGAATTTGAATACCAAAACTTTGTGTCTACTAGATTAAGAAAAAAAGGTTTTTAAATACTCTACTACATGTAAGTACACAATGAAATTATCTTTTCAGATATGGTTCCAAAACAGGCGTGCTAAATTCAAGCGAGAGTCAAAGAGTGTTCAGATGAACTGGATGAGAAAGCAGTTTTATACGGGCACACCGGAACAAACTTCGAGCTCACAGAAGAGTTCACATGTCATCTCGTGTAACCCAACAGACTTCAATGTGGAAAACAGATTGCAACCTGAGTGTTTACCATCCAAAAAGTAAGATTATAAATAATAGTACATGTACATGTACTATATATATACGTATTTCTGGTAATATCTCCAAGAAGTTATGACAATGCTAAATACATGTACATGTATACACGCTCATTATTTATGGCAATTTCTTTTTTATAGCATCCACTATTTACCGAATTTGAGGCAAAATCTCCCCGATGACATCAGTAATTCATCATTTTCCTCTGGAGTTTCTTCATCTCCAAGTCCCCCAACTGCTTCGATGACGTCATCACCGCCATATCCATTAGCTCATCGCCACAGGATGCCAGAATATACATCAACATATCCGGCATTTTACCCACAATACATTGCAGACTATCACCAGCCCTACTTCCGCCACTACGCTCCTCCTCAGTCTACGCTGCCTGTGAATCCCATGCACGTGCCCTTCACGCCAGGATACCAGCTGATGACACTGCAATGACGTGTACAGAAATTCTGTGATATGAAGTTATATAACGACTCTGTTAATTAAATTTCTTGTACAATTAATCTTTTGTATAGAATTTTTTCTTTGACATATCGTGCTATTTTAATCTTGAATAAATAATTTTCTTGGTACTAGTGTGATTATTTTATATAAGATTTTTAAACATACAAAGAACTAATAGTAGAAGAGTTCTCACTCTCGTTAGTACAACTGATGAAGGTCCACTGAGGTTCTGATCATCTCTGTGCTCTCAAGAACATATGTATCAATGTGTAGGATGTGTTGAATTATTATTTAACACCGCATGTACAGCAGACAAAAAATATAAAGTACATGCATGTAGAGGTACCCATGTTTACTTTTTTTTCTGTGAAGATAACAATTGTTCTGATCAGAATCCAGACCATGAATTGCCGCTATTATTATTTATAAAAATTATCATAATATTCAAACGTTTAAAAGTATACCAGACTCTGAATTCAAAGCATTAAAAAGAACATATAATACCGGTGAACATTAACTGGCAAGATTGGAAATATTTCTTTCCGTTAGAGTCAAAACATTTGATAATAGACAGTGAAATTAGCGGGTACAAGTCGGCGCGGGCATCTGAGAAAACATTGGATTGAAATTCTAGTTTGAAATTCATTTTCATACCACTTCAGCTACTCTTGTATGCACAGTGTTAGTGATTAATCCAGAAGACAAATAATGTCAATTTCGAAATAAATTGATATTTATATAAACCAGACTTTTCTCTCCAATGTTTTCTAAAGAAATAATAAGAGGACGAGTATTTGATTCCTGATGGGGTGGTTGGTAGATCTAAGAAATAAGTAGGAAAGTTTTCGAGCTCGGACACCCCCCCCCCCCCGGTTCCTTTTTTTTGCTTGTCAACCATTTTTTATTGAACAAGATAAAAATAATATTTCTTGTCATCCTAGAAATAAATATACAATGTATTCTGTTTTCTGAAGGCATGAATGGAAATAAATTTAACTCCCCTCCCCTTTTAGAATCAAATGACCCTCCCCTGAAAGAATATATCTATATCTTCTTTATACCGTTTGTGTGTCTTTAAAAACATTGGATTGAAAATTCTCATCTCCATCAATTTCAAACTGTTTGGGAATTGAAATCATTTGTCTTTTGGATAAAACATTAACGCTTTGCGTATGAAAATAGCTTAGGTGGATTGAAAATCAATTTCAAACTTGAATTTCAATCCAGTGTTTTCTAAGACGTCCGTGTAGAATTGTACATGTATCCGCCCATGTAATTGTCTATCATCAAATATTTTGACTGCAACAGATGGAAATGATGTAAGGTGTATATTTTCAATCTTGACATTTAATGTTCCGCGGTCTTAAACAAATTGTATGAAAAAAATTGAATGAAAAAAAACTTTTTTTTTTAGAATTGGATACTTGGATTTGTAATATACAGGCAAAAGTGGTTCGCTTGAACTTCATATGAAAATCTTTTATTAGAATTCTTCGCATGGGAAGGACTTCAAACGTTGAGATAGGTGTATGTGGGAGCGTAGCGGGAACGACAACTCTGGATAGAGAATGAGGCTATCCTTCGTATAGTTTCCTCAAACCTTGATCTATTCTATCCTTTTTCCTTAGAAAACAGATTTTTGCTTCTTAAAAGTTAATTTCACCGTTGATTTATGTAAAGTTTTCCTTACTTACTCAATGCTAGATTCAGGTACGCATGATTATACAAAAATAAACTTGATTAATGTCAGAACTTGAGCGATTAAGTAAAATCGATTTATAGTTGTCTGAACAGAAAGCTCGATTTACTCCACTCCGTGTCTCAGTCTAAGGAACCTAGGCATTCCAGTCAAGTTGACTTCATGAAAATATCCAGAGTGACTCCCTGCTGATGGTACCCCAGTGACTTCAATTGATGTCAAAGAATGCGTAATAAAAATGAAAGAATGAGCAAATTTAATTTTACATGAGAGCAAATGTCTTATTTTGTATGGGTCTTGTAGTTTAACGGGCACGTAGCATCGGAGGAGGGGTAGGGGATCCAAACACAACCTTTTTTACTGCCGAAAATGTTTATTGAAAAAGAGTTCCCCGCCCCATATTTTGGTTCAGTGCAGTCAAATCAGAGTAATGTGGTAACGAGTGAACAAAATTTGGTTGTGTGAAAGAAGTTGGAACCTATCCCTTCCGCCTACACAATTTTCTTTTTTTTTTCAAATTAGTTGTTATTTTTTGTGACTGCCCCCTCCCTTCCCCACTTTCAAAAACGATACCACGTGCATGTTTAAAATTCTATACATGTATATATAAAAAAAAAACATGCAAACATTTTCGCAAACAAGTTCTATGTACAGTTCTATTCAATCCAGATTCTTGGCAAATGCACTTGTTATACGATGGACACCTGCGATATGTCTTGTGATGTCTCAATTCTCTACCAACACCGAAAGAAAATACTGTGACCTATAAGTCAAACCATTTCCACTATATGGAAAACTCTTTATCTGGTAACATTATGACTAGTGCATTACTATAGTGCTGAGGTTATCAAGAGCACAGACAGGACGAGACGCTCTGATAGAGGACTGGCCTACAAAATGAGGAGTCTACTAATTGTTTATTCTTTAATTAATTTGTGTAAACTTAGCTTTGAGTTTCCAGGTAAAACTTTCTTAACTTGATCAAGTGTATCTTTTGTACAAGTCTTTTGTGGTCTACAATATATAATGCATAATATTAATTTGTACATGTATTGCTTATGTTTGAAATAGACTCTGAGAAATTAAACCGTGTATTGTTACAGTAGCTCTGTTTTAATTGCTGATTAAATTACACTGTATTTTGAATATGAAAAGTACATATACATGTATATCTTATTTCTAAATTAATAGTCAAAAGATACTTGTGATCTCGGAAAAAGGGGGGTCTGAGATTTGTTGGTAATGTCTAAAAATTGCATGTTCTCAAAAATTTTCGCAAAAGATTAAATAAGACTATACAACACAGTTTCTTCTAATCATCAATAACTTCACAGTGATAAAACTTACAATATTTAATCAATCTGATTAAAATCAGATCCTTTGATCCGCTCACATAGATCGCTACACAAGGTAGCGATCTATATGAGCGGATCAAAGGATCTGATTTTAATCAGATTGAATATTTAATTAAAATATAGATGAATATTATTTCAATAGATTGTACAATTATTCCCCATAGAATACGTATAAATCCGAACCGTGTACGGTTAGGTTGGAAGGGTTACGACGCAGAAGAAATATATTACAATATAATTGTAAACCTACCCCCTATTGGGGAATGTTTACTATACATGTATATTGCAAATTTCCCGGGGGAGAGGGGGTGTCCTATAGGGAAATATTTACTAAATGATACCGGTATATCACCAAATCGGCCACATGGGCACCTAATGGTATAGAATAACAGTAAAGAAAAATGTTTAATATTTAATTAACTCAACCTTTTTCACATGTATTTTTGAATTTCAGAGAAACGACAAGCCGGTTTAATACCAAACTGTGGAGGTAATATAAGTTAATATTCTATAGCTATCTTTTGATGTATGTTTGTATTTATAAGTTGAAAACACATTTTCATTACAACAATACATAGCTGGAAAATTCACTAACTTATACATGTTACACAAGAGTACAAGACCTAAGGATGATAATATCATTCTGAAAAAAAAAATCCACTTTGAAAGAGGAGAAAAAATATAACTTTTTATCGACCATACCATCTTCTCTGCATATAGCTTCCTCCTACACGACCAGAATGGGAGAGGATCGTGCATTTTGGCCGTGGTTTGCGACGATGCGAGCATACTTGTTCATAAAGTTTTTTTGTTTTGAATTAAATTTATTTTTTATTTAAGTTACCTATTCTGATATACTAGGTTTTATGTGATAAATGTTGGTTTTTGGAAAATATATACTCTTCTTTTTTTTACCACTGACGTATCTTCACACAACTTTCCTTTTTTTAATTATTAATCATTGATGGATTAAATCCATTAATTAATTTAATTTTTACAGACCAATGGTCAAATGTACCTAACCCCTGTAAAAACAACCATAATAACCAACTATACTACCCCCACCCCCACGACAAGGCCAAGTTTCTACAGTGCACGGCGGATGGGGAGATGTACATTATTCAGTGTCCCCAGGGGAAGGAGTATAACCCCTCTGTTACCAGCTGCGCTCCTCCCGTGACCACTACAGTACGTAACTGCTCTTCATTTTTTTTAAATCGTATATCAGAATTCTGTCTATTAAAAAAAGTTCTTTTCTAAGGAAGACCAGAGTACATGTATATTTGTCGTAAAAAGGAACTCATTGAAGTTTCATATTTTTGGCTAGCGCATACAGCAAACCCGATTATTAAGTTTTGTCGCAATTAACATGTAGGTATAAATATATGGATTCGTCATGATCACTTTTTTACAGCCCGCTCCAGTTACTGTAGCCTTTAGAAATCCCTGTACAGCGTCCGCGATAGCCAGTGGACAAATTTACTTCCCATACCCTAACGACAACACTAAATTCATGGTGTGTGAGGGTGTGGACCAAGTGAACATAATGGTTTGTCCTTCTCCATTAATCTGGGACAATACAAGGCAGTCCTGTGTCTACGCCGCCATTATCGGACAGACACCACCACCAGCCGCAACCACCGTGGCACCAGGTAATTTGTTTGGATAAATGTATGCAACATATCATGGTCATCCAAACAAATACTGCTCATTTTAAAACAAAATTGTACATTTCAGTTGAATCTGTGCAAATATTATCGATTGGAATAACATACATTGTACTGTTTTCACGAAGATGCTTTATAATTAAACACAACAAATGTACTGTACATTTATATTACCTTGAAACAGTTTACATGCATGTACATGAATCAAGGGGTTTCATATTAAGTATTTTCCATAACTTATGATTTTATACAATAAATCCATTGGAGACAAAGTACAAACATTGTTCTGTTCTCATGAAATTTGTATAAACGATGTCAAAATAATATGATACTTAATATCATATAAGACACCTAAAACTCTTTTGGATGCTCTACTTTCTCATGAATTCCTTTTTCAGATTCCTCACTGTCAACTTGTCAACACATGACAGTACCCCCAGGAGGGGTCTACTTCTCCCACCCTAACCCATCCAAGTTCATTCAGTGCGCCCCAGGGGGTACGGCGTACGTCCTAACCTGTCCCGAGGGAACAGTGTGGAACGAGTTCAGTAAACTGTGTGTCTCCCCATTTGGTAATCCTACAGCCTCCCCGTCATTCTAGAGAGTCCATAATAGTAGATATATATTATTGACTGTATTAATAAACTTCTCAGAAGCTTTTTTTTTTTTTTTTTTTTTTTAATTTTTTTTAATTTAATTATTAGTTAACATCAACAAAGAACAGCAGCACATGTATAGTTGCTTAAGAATGATCGGTGCAGTCAAAAGTTTAAGATCATCATCACTGTAAATACCATTTTCAACGAAAAGGATTGTATGCGTCATAAAATAGGTCATGGGAGAAATTACGATATTTGGTCTCTATCATTGAGGTAACCACGGTGTATTAAATTGAGATTTCATAGTGCAGATAATGAACAGTGTTCATGCTCAAAAGTCCGAATTAAAACAATACTATGTGAGAGCAGGGCAAACACGGACCCTGACAAGAAATCAGAGGTGGGATCAGGTGCCAGGAATGGGTATACATCCCCTGTCAATGAGACAGAACAGCTGTGCCCTGTCATGATCGAGTAAACAGAAAATTCCGTACATAATCTAGTATGATAAGATAGACCTAACAATTAATATAAAAAAATGTCAGTCAACATTCGACCTAACGACAAGATGTATTTGCAAATAAGGTCATTGTAAATAGTCAAAAAAAAAAAAAATCAGTCCACAGAAATTACTTCTTGTACGGTTTATCCTATCTTAAATTTTTTACAAAATATCTAAAAGTGTTTAAAAGAAATCAAACTGTATGCTTTTATTCCCAATGTTTATATCAAACTTATGTATTTCCATACAATACATGTACTCCGTTTGAGAAGCTTCTAAAAAGATTTGAAGGCTTTACATTTTACCTTTAAAAAATTGACCTAACTTATTTTAAATATGAAATGTGCAGCCTTGTGACAGTATATTGTCCTTTTTTACAAACTATCGTCGGCGACAATATTCAACTATCCTTGAGCACTGCACATTCTGTCGTCCATAGACACATATTGTCTCCGGCTGAAAAATTATACATGTGCATATTGTCACCGGCGACATTATGTACCTACCCTCACTGTACATATTGCCTCCCCACAGTCAGGTTTGCTTGAACTTGTGAATGTACTTGATGTGTAAATCATACGGACGTGTTTCGTAGGCTATTTCATGCAGCGCGATTTTGACGGTACATGTACATGTATATTACGGACACTTGACCTCATACCTAATAATTAGGTATAGGGTTATATTTTTTATAAGAAAAATATGTAACGTCAAGTGCCTGTGGTACATATTGTTGTCTTGTATATATTGTCGCTGACGACAATGTGTAACTACTCTCACTGTATATATTGTCGTCAGTCTGTACATATTGTTGCAGTGTGGCAACGCACTTTGAAAAAAATTTTTCAAAGTGCGTTAAAATTGGGACAAAATCAACGCACTTTGAAAAAAAAAATTTCAAAGTGCGTTAAATTTGGGACAAATCAACGCACTTTGAAAAAAATTTTCAAAGTGCGTTAAGAGTGTACATCAAGATTTTTTACCATGGAGACACTTCACGCACTTTGAAAAAATACGTATAAAACAAAATTTCTGGACTAAGAATTTTAGTAATAGATAGCATTAATTTGCTATATTTCGTCCGAAAAACTGATGAATTGATCTACCCTCATCGAGATCGAGGAGAAGACAGGTAGAAAGTCTCTCACCCCAACTCTCTATCTTTCCTTAACAAATATATGTATATGCATAACTGGTGTGACATTGATATTTTCTCTCAGTAAATTTGAGTTAACGTAAAATAGATGAAAAAATTGAGATGAGCCGCATAACCTTTATTCATAATGTATCCACAATGATTCCTTAGAAAAAGGGGCATTTTCATGGTAATTAAAACATGCTATTTGACATGTCTAGCGTTTTAATGATATCAAATCACCGATTTAGAAGTAATCTGTCTGCATATTAACTTTTTTGAGAAAAAGTTATTAGTGAACGAGGTAAAAATTTCAGTCGAGTGAGTAATGTGGCTAAGGTTTATTTTCTTACTATCAAATAAATGAGTCAACCATAGCTTCATATATGTTCACGATAGATAGATAGATAGATAGATAGATAGATAGATAGAAAGATAGATGAGGGAGAGAAGGAGAGAATTTTCATGGTATGGAAAATCACAATTGCTCCCTTTTCCCTAAGAAAAATGCGATGTGTAAGTCACTTATCGACACCTACATCTACCGAGCTTATTAGAGACTGGATAAAATTTAAACAAGAAAAGAAGAAAAAGAAACGAAACTGTGCTATTAAACAATAATTCCTCCGTTATTTCTAAAATACCCATTTCCCTTTTATAACAGTTACGAGAACGTTTGGAAACAAGACAACTCCTAAAAATCTTTAAAACGTCTATATCTCAGATCCTGAAGTCATCACCGAAAAGTTATCCAACCAGGTTCAAATAATTATTTATCATACCTAAAAAATGCAAGAATATTGACCAAGCCGTGCACATTTTTTTTTAAAGTGCGTTAATATGGTCATTATTAACGCACTTTGAATTTTTTTTTTTAAAGTGCGTTGACGTGGTCCCAAAATTAACGCACTTTGAAATTTTTTTTCAAAGTGCGTAATTTTTCAAAGTGCGTTGTAACAATTGCAGGCTGCAAATTATACGTGTACATATTGTCGCTGGCGAAAATAAATGCCTACCCTCACTGCACATTTTGTCAGAGTTACAGAATATGGATAGTGAAGATGATGCTTTTTACAATGATAATGAATGTGATTTCGAAAAGTATACATTCAATTTTCATGAAGTCGTTTATATTTGTCTTTGTATATTCGGCTTTTATTCTCATAATTACGACTTACTTAAGTCGTAATAACGACTTTTTACCTCGTTATTACGACTTAAGAAAGTCGTAATAAAGACTTTTTATCTCTTTATTACGACTTAACAAAGTCTTAATAACGTCTTTTTTTATCTCGTAATTACGACTTTCTTAAGTTTTTATCTCGTTTTTACGAGATAAGAAGTCGTTATTACGACTTAATTAATTCGTAATAACCCTAACAAAAAAATACTATAGTAAACGATAGTTAACTATAGTTTACTATAGTTAACTATAGTACCAAAGTAAAAACTTTGGAACTTTGATTTACTATAGTAAAAACTTTGGAACTTTGATTTACTATAGTGAAAACTTTGGAACTTTGATTTACTATAGTGAAAACTTTGAAACTTTGATTTACTATAGTGAAAACTTTGGAACTTTGATTTACTATAGTGAAAACTTTGGAACTTTGATTTACTATAGTTAAAACTTTGAAACTTTGATTTATTATAGTGAAAACTTTGGAACTTTGATTTACTTTAGTGAAAACTTTGAAACTTTGATTTACTATAGTGAAAACTTTGGAACTTTGATTTACTATAGTTAAAACTTTGAAACTTTGATTAAGTACGATAAATCCCGTGGAATTATGTTTTTGATTCCCATTCTATTTCAAGTTTAAGATTCATAAAAGCTTAAGAGAACATTTGGAAAACGCGATCCCTCCCCTAAAAGAATAATGTACAAGATATGAATTTTAATGTAAAAGTTGTCGCTTGCGCCGACAAATAAGCAATATTTTTTTCAATGTATTTAATTTTAATGTTATCCAGATGAAACGTAAGTCTTATTTATGGAGGAAAAATATTATATTATAAAAAACAATTGTGTCATTTAGAATTAAAATATCTGCTTCATCAACTTCAGTCAACATGTATTTTTTTTTTAAATTTATAAATGTAAATATTGCATTTGAATTAACTACTTTGTATATTGAAATAAAGATGTACAACAAAAACCAGCCCCAACCAACCCCATAAATACGCCCTCCCCTAAAACAGCTAAATAATAAAAAAAATGAAAAAATAAATAAGTTGTTAAACTAATGAAAAAACTTCGAAAATATGATTAAGTATGAGGAAAACTTTGAAACTTTAATTAACTATAGTAAAAACTTTGGAACTTTGATTTTCTATAGTGAAAACTTTGGAACTTTGATTTACTATAGTAAAAACTTTGGAACTTTGATTTACTATAGTGAAAACTTTGGAACTTTGATTTACTATAGTGAAAACTTTGGAACTTTGATTTACTATAGTGAAAACTTTGGAACTTTGATTTTCTATAGTGAATACTTTGGAACTTTGATTTACTATAGTAAAAACTTTGGAACTTTGATTTACTATAGTGAAAACTTTGGAACTTTGATTTACTATAGTGAAAACTTTGGAACTTTGATTTACTTTAGTGAAAACTTTGGAACTTTGATTTACTATAGTTAACTATAGTAAACTATAGTTAACTTTAGTTTACTATAGTATTTTTTTTGTTAGGGAACGAGAAAAAAGTCTTTATTACGAGATGAAATGTCGTTATTACGACATAAGAAAGTCGTAATAACCAGATAGTAAGTCGTAATTACGAGATAAAATAGCGTTATTACGACTTTCTTGAGTCGTAATAACGAGATAAAAACTCGTTATTACGAAAAAAAAAAGTCGTTATTACGACTTTATTAAGTCGTAATAACGAGATAAAAAGTCGTTATTACGACTTTTTTTAAAAAAAAAAAAATTCCGTATTCCTCATTTGACCCTTCTAGGTACGGAAGCCCATTTACGACCTATCAAAATATTTTTGAATTCGAAATAACGAATTGTCGAATTCGTTATAACGAATTCAAAAAATATGTTATAACGAATTAAATTCGTTTAAACAAATTCTAAAATTTGTTATTACAAATTAAATTCGTTTAAACAAATCCCAATTTTTTTTTTATAACGAATTAAATTCGTTTAATCAAATTCAACCACTGGGGCCTATAGAAAAATATATATGAATTTGATATAACGATTAATCGAATTCGTTTTAACGATTTTAATTTGTGATAACAAATTAAGGAATTCGTTTAAACGAATTTAATTCGTTATAACAAATTTTAGAATTCGTTATAACAAAGTTAATTCCTTATAACAAATTTTTGAATTCATTAAAACGAATTCAAAAAAATTGTTATAACAGATTGAATTCGTTATAACGAATTCAAAGAAATTGTTATAAC